AGCTGGGGTGGAGGCAAACGTCAAAACGAGGCAGTTTTCATTTCAAAATCTTGCTTTTAACTATTAGGATATGGACCCAAGACTGATTTACTAATTAATTCCAAAGTTAACGTGAGGGAAGTAAAGCTGAACCATTTGTCAATTGCTTATCTCTCAGGTTGACTAATCTCATGGAATAGATATACTTCTTCCTCTCTTACTCCGCTAGGATAAGCCCTCGAGGGTGAACCCAAGAGAACACCGTTTTCAGATAGTAGAAAGCTCTATCTGAGCCAAGGACATGCAAATGCCATGTCGCCCACCCTAGCATCCAACCATTAACTCATGAATTCTACATGTGTTAAGAGCCAAAAATATGCGTCCCATATACTAAATGCTGAAAGTAGAGATGCAAAAATAAATTAGGTGGAGAATATGGCCTCAAAGAACTTAAAATATTGGGGAACATCCCCATCTAGGGCGAACAGCACTGAAGATACACATGGGGGCAAACCAAGAGGGGAGTGCCAACAGACCAGCAATTGGGGCAAAGCCACGAAGTCCCTGTAGAATCCCGATTGTAGACTTCTAACTCGAGGGGCAGTGCTTGGCACCTCATCTGAACTGGTTGGGGAGTATTCACAAGGGGGCCACACTGAAAGTCTAAAGGCTTTATGGAGCCAGGGGAGACTAGACCATTCCATTCCTGACTGCAGAATGAGCAATGGGGGCTTGCAGGAGTTGCTCCTGTCAGTCGCAAACGCTGAGGCCTAAAAAGGGTCTAAGTACTGTTAGGTAAAACTCGCTCTATGACAGACTTTCTATCTATCTACCTATCCACTTCTATGAAATACTCTGAGACCATGATCCAGATCGCAAAGACAAAGATAACACAAGAAAAGAAAAGTACAGGTCAATATCACTTACAAGGGGACTTTAAAAATTCATGGAAATGTTCTATTTTATAATTCCATTTTCCACTAATCTTTTGAAACCCCCTCATATGGATGCAAAAATCCTAAACAAACTACTAGTAAATGCAATCCAAAAACACATTAAAAAGATTATGCACCAAAATCAAGTAGGATTTATTCCATGAATGTAAAGGTGTCTCACCATTAGAAACTCAATCCATGTAATAGAATAAATGTAAAGAAGCTCATTAACATCTCAATTGAAGCCAGGAAACGCTTTAAGCAAAATTCACCACCCTTTCACGATACTGATTCATAGAAATCCTAAGGACAGGTTAGAACTGCCCCTGCGTTTCCAAGGCTCTAACTCTACAAGAGTAAAATGCCCCATTCTTTCTCCTGAGGATCAGCTGGTGGTTTCAAACTGATGACCTTGTGGACTGCAGCCCAACTGGAAACCACTATGCCACCAGGGCTCCTCATACAAACACTCAAATAACTAGGAATAGAAGGGAAATTACTCGTTATGATAAGGGGCATTTATTAAAAACACACAGCTAGCAGCACACATAATAGAGAAAGTTCCCTTAAGATCAGGAACAAAAAAAGGGTGTCCAGTAGCATCACAGCTACTCAATATTGTACTGAGTCTTAACCAGAGCAGCTAGGCAAGAACAATCTTTCGTATTCATATTGGGGGTGGGGGGGACAAGTAAGATATTCTCTATTTGCAGAATATCTGATCCTATGTGTAGAAACCCCCCAAGAATCTACAAGCAAGCTACTAGAACTAGTAAAGCAATACAGTGGGATAGCAAAGTACAAACTGACAGGTGAGTAATGGAGTTGGGTAAGTGACTCAGAACACAAGACCCTCCCCCTAGCAACTCCCCACCCCAGAGATTGTGACACAGGCCCCGCCCCCTCCTAACTCCCCACCCGAGATTAATTTGAGAATGACAATGTGATGGCACCGACATTATGGGTTACCATGTGATAAAATGAATTCTTGAAATTTAAAAAGAAAGAAGTCTCCCCCGCCCCCAAACAACTAACCTCAAAACATTTTTCAGTCTTTGCTTGGTGAAGCAGGCTAGCCAATCCAGGAAGCAAAACTGGAAAGATGAAGGTTTCCAAATAGTCTTTGGGGGAACCTGAAGCAAGCAAACAGGTATCGCTGAAAATACCGAAGAACCAAAGGCAATGTGGATGAAATGAATGCTCATGAACCAAAAAGGGTATATCTATTGACATATGACAACACAAGTCAAAAAGCATCATTTTACCCGGCACTGCTGAGTTCAATATTAGAATGTGCCGGTTCATTTCCTAGGGCAGCCCTAACAGAACACCTCACATAAACCAGGTGACACTTGCCGTCTCACAGTTTCGGAGAGAAGTCCAGGTCATGCTCCTTCCAGAGGCTCTGGGGGAAGATCCTGTCTGGTCTCTCTCCGCTTCCAAAAGCTTCCTGGCCTTGCAGAACTATCTTCTTTACGTGGCTGCCTGTCTGTTTGTGGTTCTTTTTTTTATATAATCATTTTATTGGGGGTTCATACAATTCTTTTCACAATCCATCCATCGTGTCAAGGACATTTGTACATTTTTTTGCCATCATCATTCTCAAAACATTTGCTTTCTACTTGAACCCTTGATATCAGCTTCTCATTTTTCCCCTCCCTCCCTATTTCCCCTCACTCATGAACCCTTGATAATTTATAAATGATTATTATTTTGTCATGTCTTACATTGTCTGACATCTCCCTTCACCCACTTTTCTGTTGTCTGTCCCCCAGGGAGTGGGTTATATGTAGATCCTTGTGATAGGTATCCCCTTTCTACCCCACCTTACCTATACCCTCCCGGTACTACCACTCTCACCACTGGTCCTCAGGGGTTCATCTGTCCTGAATTCCCTGTGTTTTCAGTTCTTATCTGTACCAGTGTACGTCCTCTGGTCTAGCCAGATTTTTAAGATAGAATTTGGATCATATAGTGGGGTGGGGAGGAACCCTTTAACAACTAGAGGAAAGCTGTATGTTTCATCATTGCTACACTGCACACTGACTGGCTCATCTCCTCCCCACGACCCTTCTGTAAGGGGATGTCCAGTTGCCTACAGATGGGCTTTGGGTCCCTGTAGTATTAAATTAAAATGTTGGTGCTGGGGGGGTGAAGGGCCAGCCTCCACCCGCTGCTATTACTATTTCTACTACTCGGATTCAGTAATGCACAATTGTATGGTTGAGATACATAAGCATTATATTAAAGTCATCAAGAGCATGAGAGATATTACAATAATACAGTCAGACACATTACATGATAGCATTGCTCACCTCAGCCCAGCTTGGTGGTCCACGTGGAGAGAGGGGGAAGGGAAGGAGGGGAAGGGAACAAGGGAGAGGGGAGTGACCAGGGAGTGAGCAGCAAGGAGCTCAGTCAGAGAGAGATCTATATTGCTGACTCACACCTATATACCTTTTGGGGGCAAGCCAGCCCACTAATTACAGGTAGAGACATACGTCACAGGAAGGGGCTGCACTATAGGTTACACAGCAATGAGAGGGTGGTCTAGGGGGTGGTCTCTGGGTCTCCATAGGAACCTTATCAGTAGGGTGAAAACCCCTCCTACAGGAGCCTGTCCATTGTCCCCAGAGGCAGGGAGCAGGCCCACCCCTGTGGAGGGATGAGACAGCAGTCTGGCAACTGATTGCCCCCAGTGGGGGAATGCCTGCGCATATGACCTCCCCCCACAGGTCCCCACTCCACACTCCCCCTCATTCACAATAATATGATTTTTTTGTTCTTTGATGTCTGATACCTGATCCCTTTGACACCTTGTGGTCACACAGGCTGATGTGCTTCTTCCATGTGAGCTTTATTACTTCTGAGCTAGATGGCAGCTTGTTTACCTTCAAGTCTTTAAGACCCCAGATGCTATATCTTTTGATAGCCAGGCACCATCAGCTTTCTTCACCACATTTGCTTATGAACCCGATTTGTCTTCAGCGATCATGTTGGGAAGGTGAGCATCATGGAATGCCAGTTTAATAGAACAAGATGTTCTTGCATTGAGGGACTACTTGAGTTGGGGTGTGGCTCCTCTTTTATGGGCAGCACTCAAAACAGATCAGGACCAACCCTCCTCTAGTATCACTTTATAGGAACTTAAGTGATAATCATCTGCAAAGACTAATTCCAAACAAGATTTCATTAACAATTATCAGAGTTTAGGACATTTACACATCTTTTGTTTCCTCCTCAGGGTGTGTGTGACGATTCAATTTGGAAGAGTCCCTCTGGTTCTCTGTACTCTGGAATAGTCAGTGTAGCAGCTTTAGGACCACTTGGTTCCCATGCGGTTCTGCTTCTCTGCAGCCTAGTTCTTCGTCAGAATCTTGATGCTGCTCTAAAAACTGTTTCAATTACTTATATTCCAATCTTTATCAGTTCAAAAGCAGCTCTCCCTCATCAGACTAGAGTTCAACTAATCTTCAATTACCCACAGGGCGTCGTGGTCTGATGGATGGGTCATTGTTAAGGGCTTCTAGCCATGGCCTTGTAACTGTCACCAAAGGACTGGGTGGTGGATATGCTAGTAATGCAAATAAGATACATGGTGCAAAGAGGGGATTCTCACTAATACCAAGAAGTAAAGAACTAGGAGAAGGGAGAGTGTTTGGGACCCAGGATCCATGCATGGGGAATAGAGAGAAGGTTGTAAAACCAGAGAGGTGAGAAGCAGTGGCAGATAAATGGCAGCAGGAGACCAGTAAGAAATGGTGCTGTGGGCCTCCTGGTCCACAGAGGTAGAGCGCTGAAGGCTTTCAAGCCAGAGGGGTGACTGAAGGAGCGAGGTCCCTCAGGGCACTTATCAATGACGCTAGGCTTAGGTGTGCCTTAGGGCAGAGGCTTACTGGTGGAGCTGGGGCTCCTGGAAATGTTATCAGTGGAGTTAAAGAGCTTTGTAACATATTTCTGAACAGAGCAGAGGCTAGATTAACTCAAGAAGCTGAAGGGGTCAAGGAGCTAAGGGCCAGGAAGAGGCCTACCTGAAGGCAAACCTGAGAAACGGTCTCCATCAAAAAAACTACAAGAACTGTATCCTGAGTCATTCCTGATCCTGAAATGTCATCTGGGAACTCCTTAGTCATGAGTACTGTCCGTGAGAGTTCTGCGTGGTCATTGCCGTGAATATCAAGCCCTGGAGAGAAGTGGCCAGCTCTATGGAGGGACGGCTGCTGTCAAATTGGTAAAATTGGTTGCAGAAAGAAGGAGAGTGTGACTTCCATCTCTAAGGAGTCAGTCTTGGCTGCTGCTGTTGCTGCTGCTGAGTGGCTCTCCACCTCCTGAGTTAGAGGAGGTTAGATGTCTCCACCAGGCCATTTTTATAGAGGTTAATCAGCTTAGGTCTTGCCAGACAAAAATACAAATCACAGTATGCTTGCTACTTCTCATAATCTTGAGTACAGTTTAACTTTAAAGATAGATCAGTGGCCTGTTGCCTTTGTTTTTAAAATACATAAATGATCTTTATGAAGGAAGGCATGTGTTTCTCTAAAAACTAGCCTAACTCAGCTGGCTTAAGCTGCTCTCACTCTGGTACATGCTTGCCATTTTCTTGGTCTTCTAATGAATAAATGTTTTTATGTACTTTAAAAAAAAAAAAAAAAAGATAGATAGATAGATAGATCAGTGGAGTAGAATGGACTACTCCTAAAAATAAGTGAAACCCACAGGAGATACTCCTTATTTGTGTGGTCTTCTTAAAGTTCATTGGCCCACTCCAATGCCCACCCTGCAGTTCAGCAATGTTACAAACCCCAAACGACACGAGATGAATGCTTACTTCTTTACTTACATGTTTTGGATTCAATTGTTTTCACTTTTACTTGAGGACAAGGTGAAGCCGTGGAGAAGTGGGGAACAGAGAACAGGTTCCCTCTATGGATGCCCTGGAAAATGGTGTCTGCCACTGGTGAAACCTGGAAGGGGCGAGGAGAGTCCATTCAGATAGTTGAAATCATGGTAATTGAAAAACCCCTTCTCTAGGTGTAATGCTATTGTTTTCCAACTCTGTGTGATGCTTTGGGCTCACAGGAGCACGCTGAGCACCAACCTTTGTCTCCCTTTCAAGACAGCTACAATGGCAGCCAACTAGACAAAGGAAGACCATAAAACAATGAGAGATTGCCAAACATTTTCAAAACAAATAAAACCTGTTGACAGAAAAAGAAAATGGGGAAGTAGTACCCCTATACAGGAAGAAACTGCCCCAGAGAACAGGCAACAACTGTCCCCCTAGAATGTCAACGAGGCTCAATGCTCACAGTTGACAGGTATCACACGAGGCGGCAATCAGACCCGAAGTGGCAAACTGGAGGCAAAATGGACAGGTTTCAGCAGAGCTTCTAGACAATGAGAAACTATGAAGAAGGATCTGGCAATTCACATCTGAAATAACTTGGCCGTGTAAACTTTATGCTGAGCAGCAGAACACTGTATGACACAGTGCCAGAAGATGAACCCTGCAGGGTGGACGACACCCTGAATGTGACTGGAGAAGAGGTGCCTCCTCAAAGTAGGGTAGAGTTGAATAATGCAGATGGAATAAAGCTTTGGGGAACCTTCATTTACTCATGGCATGAATTAAAATGAAAAGAAACCCCTGCAAACATCATTAATAATCAAAATATGGGCTGCACAAAGTATGGATCTAGGAAATTTGGAAGTCATCAAAAATGAAATTGATCATGAAGATCAATATTCTAAGCATTAGTGAGCTGAGGGAGACAGGTATTGGCCATTTTGAACTGGACAATTTGCATGATCCATTATCCTGGGAATGGAAAATTCAAGAAGAATAACATTTCATTCATTGTCAAAAGACCTGACCTGAAACATAATAGTGTCAATGATAGGATGATATCTATATGCCTACAAGGCATGTACCGGCCACTAAAGCCAAAGATGAATGAATGAAAGATCTTTACCAAATTCTGCAGTCTGGAACTAATGAAACATGCATCATCAATTGTTTATATGCAGTTCAAGCTGAAGCTGAAGAAAATGAAAGCAAGTCCACAAGAGCCAAAGCATGACCTTGAGTGCATCCTACCTGAGTTTAGAGATGATCCCAAGGGCAAATGTGACACATTGAACACTAATGGCTAGAGACCAAATAACTTGTGTGATGACATCAAAACACATCATACATGAAGAAAGCAAAAGGTCTTTAAGAGCCAAGAAATTTTTTAAAGACCAAAATGGATGTCGGAAGAGACTCTGAAACTTGCTCTTGAACACAGAGTAGATACATAGAAGAAATGATGAGGTAAAAGAGCTGAACACAAGATTTCGAAGGGCAGCTGGAAAATACAAAGTATTACAATGATATTAAGTTAGAAAACCAAAAGGGAAGAACATGCTCATCATTTCTCAAGCTGCGAGAACTGAAGAAAAAATTCAAGCCAGGAGTTTCAATACTGAAGGATTCTGTGGGCAAAACACTGAAGAACACAGGAAGCATCCAAAGAAGATAGAAGGAATACACAGTCACTGCACCAAAAAGAGTTGGCTGAGGTTTACCCATTTCAGAGAGGTAGCATCCCATGAAGAGCAAGAATAGATGGTGCTGAAGAGAGAAGTCTAAGCCGCACTGTGGCATTGTGGACAAACAAGGCTCTAGAAACTTCCAGAATACCAGTTGAGATGTTTCAACAAGCAGATACAATTCTGTAAACACTTTCTCATCTATGCCAAGAAATTTGGAAGGCAGCAGCTACCTGATCAAATGGTATTTTTATCATTATATATATTTGTCCATTTTTTAAAAAAATGATCAAATAGAATGCAGAGATCATCAAATAATTTCATTAAAATCACATGCAAGTAAAATTTTTATGATTACAGCAATACATCAACAAGGAACTACCCATAATTCAAGAAGATCCAGAAGAGGATGTGGCATATGGGATATCATTGCTTGATGTCACAAAAAATACCAGAAAGATACTACCCTGTGTTTTATTGATTAAGCAAAGGCATTTGACTATATGTATAATAATAAAGATAACACTTCAAAAAATGATAATTCCAGAATACTTGGTTGTGTTCATGCAGAACATGTACACAGACCAAGAGGCAGATGTTTGAACAGAAAAAAAGGCCATTTTATTATTTGAAATCTGGAAAGATGTGCATCAGGGCTTTATCTTTCACCATACTTATTCAATCTGTATTCTTGGCAAATGATCTGAGAAGTTGGACTATATGATATAATGAAGAACACGGCTTCAGGATTGGAAGAATTCTCATTAACAACTCTTGTTAGGCAGAGGACAAAACATTGATTGCTGAAAGTGAAGAGGACTTGAAGCACTTACTGAGAAAGATAAAAACTAGAGGCTTCAGTATGTATTACAACTCAATGTAAAGAAAATAAAAATGCTCACAACTAGACCAATAAACAACAGCATGATAAATGTAGAAAATACTGAAGTACTCAAGGATCGGATCTACAGTCAATGCTCATGAAAACCACAGTCAAGAAATTAAAGTGTACTGATCGGGTAAACCTGCTCTTTACAGGGTTAAAAAGCAAAGCTGTCGCTGTGAAGGCTAAATCATGCCTGACCAGAGCCATGGTGTTTCCCATTGCTTCATGTGCATGAGAAGGCTGGACGCCGAAGGATGATCACAGAAGAAGCGATGCGTCTGAGTCATGGCACTGGCAAAGAATACTGGTTGTACTGACAGGAGAACAGATGTCGTAGAAGGACAGCCAGTCTACCTTTGATTAAACTAATGACACTATCAATAGAATGACCTTTATGTCCCAGGGGGATGATTGATATTGTTCTTTAAGATAAAATGATGATAATGTCTCTACGGTGAACCAGAGACATATAAAAACCAGATATATGAATGGATTTGGAGCTTGCACTCAATTCTAGCCTTAATAGAGGAACAATTAGTTTTTAGGGCATGACCCTACTTGACCTCATGAAGCGATCACTGAAAATAGGTGTGCTATAGCAAAGTGCGGTGAAGAAACTAGATGGTGCTCGGCTATCAGAAGCAAAGTGTGATGAAGAAACTAGATGGTGCACGGCTATCAGAAGGAACAGCGTCTGGAGTATTAAAGGCTTGTCTTCAAACAAGAAGATACCTAAGTGAAACATCAACTAAATCCACATGGAAGATACACACCAGCCTATGTGATCCAAGAATGTAATAATAAAATCCCAATCCGAAGGAATGGTATCAGAACTTTAATTGAATGGTAAACACCCGGTTTGCAGAAGGTTATGGATGACAGTGGAAGCCCAAAATCCATTTGCAGGGTCCACACATGGATTAAGCCTCTGGTGATTTCCCTCTGACCACAGTTGAGGGATGTGAATAGCCTTGTGATCAAAACGTTGTAATGTTGATTGTGGCAGATGTAGTTACATTAAAATGTAATAATCATTTGATCTCCCCTTGACCCATTTTAACGTTTTAGTTTAAGAAAAAAAGGCGGGGGGATCTATGTGGATTAAGCCTCTGGCGAATCCCTTGTGACTATAGACCGGGGATGTGAAATAGCTTTGCTGTCATACAGAACACACTGCAAAGTGGAGGAGTGCAAGCGCAGTTAGGTTAAAACATAACATCATTTGATCTCCCCTTTGATCTATTTACATTTGCTCTAGTCTTTAACATGCTCAGCTTTCATTTCTATTGAGGTTTTAATCTGTTCTACTTTGTTATTGTTAGTTTCCATTTTGTTTTTAAAATATTATTCTGTATAGTAACTGGATTAATGGTTCCTTGGAGGTATGGCAGAGAGAGGTTGGGGGAAATATAAGAATGAAGAAAATATGATGAAATTGATTGTGGTGAGGACTGTACCACTCTTCTTGATGGGTCTGAACTATTGAATGGTATGATGTGTGAATTATGTGACAATGAAACTGTTAAAAACAACACACACACACACACACACACACACACACACACACACACAC